TAGCGATCCTTCCACCTCAGCCTTCCAAGTAGCTAGAACTACAGGCAGGCACCACCACCCCTGGCTAATTTTTTCTGATTTATTGTAGAGACAAGGTCTCGCCATGTTGCTCAGCCTGGTCTTGAACCCATTGGGTTCAGTCAATCCTCTCGCCTCAGCCTCAGGACCTGAGGATTCCGAGTAAGAGTTTAATTTTTTTTTTATTATTTTACTTTATTATTTTAAAGATGTGAGATACAGTTCAGGATTAGGTATACAAGTGGTCATCAACAGGTAAAGTTTGGGGCTCCCTTTGGTCCCCACTTTGCCTGGTTTGAGATCAGGTACCCTTATTGATGTTGTGTCTCCACCCCCCAGCCCTGGTGGTATCCCGCTACTGCCAATCCCTATTCTGAGAAGAGTACTTCAGGCAGGGGGAGGCCAAGACAAAGGCCAAGGTGGAAATGAACAAGGTACATCAGAGTAACAGAGTGATTTCGGTACTCTACACTACAGAACAAGAGAAAAAGGAAGGACAGACATGGAAGACTATATAAGCTAGTTCTCAAACTATCAATGGTAACAGATTTTTGAGAGACTTTTCCAGACATAGACCAACAAAAGACCCAGTGGCACATGACTCATTTGCAGTGGCTGCGACATGACTGTCACCGTGCAAGTTTGGCAGCCCCCAACGGGACTCTATTCTCTTGCACGAGATGATGGATCATGTGCTTGAAAGTTGTGTCAATGTCCAATTGCTGGGAAAGTTTCACAGTGTTGATTTTCAATTTCTGTTTTGAGTTGGAGTCTCACTCTATTGCTGAGGCTGGAGTGCGGTGGCACCATCACAGCACACTGCAGCCTCAACCTCCTGGGGTCAGGTGATCCTTCTACCTCGGCCTTCCAAGTGGCTGCCACTGCAGGTATGCGCCACCATGCCCAGCTAATTTTTTTGATTTATTGTAGAGACAAGGTCTCAGCGACTGGTCTTGAACTCCTGGGCTCAGGCAATCCTCTCGCCTTGGCCTCTCAAAGTGCTGAGATTACAGGCGTGAGCCACCATGCCCGACCTGTTATTTTTATCTTGACGCAGACCGGAAACACTTCATTTATGGATCTGTCGAATACACTTTGAGTAGCCATGCAAACAACCTTGACTTTAAGTGCATTGGAAAGTATATATGGGGAGGCAGAAAGAGAAGAATCAAGGTGATTTACGAGATTGTGGAAGTCCTCTTTATGAAGATGGAGATCATCAGTGGAGAAACACATTTAGGAGGAGGGAGCAAAAGGTCTGTTTTGAACATGTTAAACGAGAGATGTCTAGACCTTCAAGTGGAGAGGTCACGTAGGAAGTTAGATATATGAGTCTGGGCCTGACATCTGAGGTCAAGGCCAGAGCTGTAATTTCAGGGAGTCTTAATAGCCTGCATTTGAAGCCTCAGACTAGCTGAGTTATCTAGCAAGTGTGGAAATGAAAGAAAAGAGACAGCTGGGAGAGGTGGCTCATGCTTGCACTCCCTGCACTTTGGGAGGTGGAGGCGAGAGGGTTGCCTGAGTCTAGGGGTTCGAGACCTCGTCTTTATAATAAAAAAAAAGAAAATTAGCCAGGTATGGTGGTCTGTGCCTGTAATTCTGCTACTTGGAAGGCTGAGATGGAAGCATGGCCTGATCCCAGCAGGTCAAGGCTGCAGTGGCCGTGAGTGTGCCACTGTACTCCGGCCTGGGCAACAGAGTGAGACTCCCTCAAAAAAGAAAAGAAAAGAAAAGAGATCCTAGGACCGAGACCTGGGGTATTTTGACATGAAAATTGACTCCTTCCATTTTAGTATCCAAGAAATTTGATTCTAACATTTATGGACCCCCAAGTCTTTACAAAACATAAAATAAGCCAAGTGTGGTGGCTCATGCTGTAATCCCAGCACTTTGGGAGGCTGAGGAAGGAGGATTGCTTGAGCCCAAGAGTTCAAGACCAGCCCAGCAACATAGCGAGACCACACCTCTACAAAAAATAAAAAAATTAGCCCAGTGTGGTGGAACACATCTGTAGTCCCAGCTACTTGGGAGGCTGAGATGGAACGATCACTTGAGCCCAGGAAGTTGAGGCTGTGGTGAGCCATGATCGTGCCACTGCACTCTAGCCTGAGTGACAGAGAGAGACAGCGACTCAAAAAAAAAAAAATACAATCTCAGTGTCACAATGCATAGTGTCAGTCAATAAATACACATGGAGAGCATAAATAAGCTCTAAGACAACCTCGCGACTCTGAAATAATGTGATTTTAATATGATTCAAGTTTCTTCTTACCCATAACATAGTGGATTGAATGGTGGCTTCCCTAAAAGACATGTACATGTCCCAGAACCAGTGAAAGTGACCTTATTTGGATAAAGGTTCTTTGCAGATACAATTGAGTCAAAAATCTTAGATGAGAGCCCCCCCCAGGTTATCCAAGTGGGCCCTAAATCCAATAAATGTTTTTACAAAAGACAGACACAGAGGAGAAACACAGATAGCGAGGAGAAGGTGTGGGTTGTGGCAGAGATCGGAGCATCGCAGCTTCAAGCCGAGGACTGCCAGCAGCCGCCAGAAACAGGAAGAGGCAGGGAGAATTCCAGCTAGGAGCCTCCCGAGGGCCAGGTAGCCCTGCTGACACACACCAGTCCTGCCAACACTTTGATTCCAGACTTCTGGCCTCCAGAACTGTGAGGAAATAGATTTCTGTTATTTTAAGCCATTCAGTTTGAGGTAATCTACAGCAGCCCCAGGAAGCTAAAACACATGGTGTCTTTTAGCAGATTCTCTTGCAACATTTCCCCTGAAGCGAGCATCACTCCGACTCAGTGGTTCTTAACCCTGGTTGTACATCAGAATCGCCTGGAGATTTTATAACAAAGGCTGAGTCTGGAACATCCTCAGAGACTCTGATTCAGTAGGGCTGGGGTACAGGCTGGTGTTGGTGTAGAGATGGATGTAAGAACTGCCATTTAATTAGTCACAGCAACTTATTATCAGCAAGGTAGCATAGAGGTACATGAGTTGCGATACCTGTTTACTTTTTTTTTTTTTTTTTTTTGAGTTGGTGTCTCACTCAGTCTCCCAGACTGGATGGAGGGCAGTGGCCACTCCCGGCCACCGCAGCCTCGACCTGCTGGGCTCCGGCGATCCTTCCGCCTCAGCCTTCCAAGTAGCCGGAATTATAGGCACGCGCTACCACGCCCAGCTGATTTTTTGATTTATTGTAGAGATGAGGTCTCGCTGCCCAGGCGGGTCTCGAACCTGCGGGCTCAGGCAATCCACTCACCTCAGCCTCCCAAAGGCGCGGGATTACAGGCTGAGCCGCCGAGCCCGGTTACTGTTTTTTAACCTTAGGAATTTGCTTTGAAACATTACAATGTGTATCTTTATGTTCTCAGAAACTGGCTGACTCAGGCTCACATCTTTACGGTGCTTAGTTCTGTTTCTACCATGAAACAGGCATTAAGGCAGTCCTGTTTCCAACTCGAAAGAACAAATGTGTGCTTTGACGGGTGGCCACCGTCTGGACACTCTCCTTGCTGACCCCAGGAGCATCGGGAGGCATGGCTTTCTGTAGCTTGATAATGTGTCACTTTAATATAAATCAAAAGACTTGCGGCCAGGAGAGGTGGCCCACGCCTGCAATCCCAGCACTTTGGGAGGCTGAGGCAGGCGGATGACTTGAGGCCAGGAGTTGGAGACCAGCCTGGGCAACACAGTGAGACTTCATCTATAAAAAGATAAACAATTAGCTGGGCGTGATGGGGCATGTCTGTAGTCTCAGCTACTCGGGGAGGATGAGGCATTGCTCAAGCCCAGGAGTTTGAGGCTGCAGTGAGCCACGATCATATCACTGAACTCCAGCCTGGGTGACAGAGCAAGATTCTTTCTCGTAAAAAAAAAAAAATTTTGCTTGCAAGACTTCACGGCAGATGATCTCACTGCCTTCCATACAATCAGATAGTGACAACTGTGAATTTCTGGTGGTATGCTACTTTGTGTAATTAAAAAAAAATCTGCTGCATAGATATACTGGGTAGGAGAAGAATACCTTATTATTTGGAGGAAAGAGGATTCCTAATTGTGGAACAAAGCCATTTCTTATATGCCAGTCCTGAATAAACGTTTCTTTGTTTTTGAAGCTATATGGCTCCTGTTGTGGCCTTTCTCGCACACACGTCAGAAAGCAGTCACGTGTGTGTGGTCGTCAGCAATGGGAGCTCGTCTGTGAAGGGTCTTTGACCAAGAGCTCACTGTGTGTATTGACCCCCGGGATGCCTTAAGTCACAAGTTTGGCCGGAACACATGAGCCCAGATAAAGAAGACGGTTTTGCCCCCCTGAAACAAAGCCAGCAATTTCATCCCCTTTTGTGCGCACCCTGGGTCATGTGGTCATGATGAGGATTTCCCTCATACTAATCCCCCTAATGAAGGCTTCTCCCAACCTTTGCACAAACCTCACAAGGCCCCGTGGCTTGGCAAGCCAGACAGAATAAAGGCAGCGCGGTGTTTGGCTTTTGAACTGAGTTCAAGGCAATCAAAGTCGAGTGCTAAGGAGGAATGCAGGGGGCTTAGACATACCAGCTTAATAAGTAGTATGACAGGCTGCTTTGGAAATTAACTCAATTAGACGGAGCCTGATTTAACGGGGGAAGGATGGTGAGGCGTGCTATCCTCATTAAATGTGCTTGTTAGAGGCACTGCTAATGAAATTAAATCTGTGTTAGTTGTTTGAGTCACAAATAATAGTGTGTGCATGGGCACTTAACACACACGCACACATGTGGGTTCTGTGATTTTGGGGGGGTTTCTTTAAGAGAAGAGGAATAAAACACAAAAAGTATATACCAAAAAAAAGACAGAGTGACTGCTTACGAACTCGACAGTGGAAGATAAGGAAGGGCAGAGAGATAAGGAGTGGAGAGAGAAAGAGAGAGAGACAGAGACAGAGAGAGAGAGAGAGAGAGAGAGAGAGACAGAGAGAGAGAGAGAGAGAACACTATCTCACTTTTAAAGCCATGAGCCGCCTTTGCTGGGGGCTTCTCTTCAGCTGCCTGGGCTGTGGAATCCTGCCTGGAGCCTGGGCTCAGTTTCCCCGGGTCTGCATGACGGTGGACAGCCTGGTGAACAAGGAGTGTTGTCCGCCACTGGGCAGGGAGCCGGGCAACATCTGTGGCTCTCAGGAGGGCCGGGGGCAGTGCACAGAGGTGCAAACTGACACCAGGTCCTGGAGTGGGCCTTACGTCCTGCGAAACCAGGATGACCGCGAGCGCTGGCCGAGAAAATTCTTCAACCGGACCTGCAGGTGCACAGGTGAGACCCATGCTCAGAGCTTGGTGGGGAGGGCCCCCGTCGGGACAGAAGCCCCTTCTAGGGAAGAGATGAGACCACTGGAGGAGACCATGAGATGAAGTTTTGAGAGGCACACCATTATGGTTTGAGTGGGATGTATATTTGATAAGGTCGGTGTTTTGGTTATATTCTTTTTTTTTTTTTTTTGAGTAGAAGTCTCTGTCACCCAGGCTGGAGTACAGTGGCATGCTCATGGCCACCACAGCCTCGACCTGCTGGGTTCAGGTGACCCTTCCACCTCAGCCTTCCAAGTAGCTAACCACAGGTTCACACCACCACACCCTGCTAATTTTTTGATTTATTGTAGCGATGAGGTCTTGCCAAGTTGCCCAGGCTGGTCTCGAACCTCTGGACTCAGACAATCCTCTCGCCTCTGCCTCCCAAAGTGTTGGGATTACAGGCATGAACCACCACACCCAGATGGTTATATTCTTAATTCTCTAGTGCATCTAGTTGTGAAAACCAGATACACATCGCATGGGCCAAGCCAGGTTACATGAATGCATGCCAACAGATGATGGGCTTGTTTGTTGGAAGGGGAAGTTAAGAGCTTTGAAACTCACAGCAAGTCCTTTCAAGATGGATTTGGTGCCCTCTCCTGAAATGGGTTTTCACTTGTCGAAGAGGGAAGGGTGAGGCTTGGCATTTAGAAGGTAGGAATCCAAGGCAGGTGTTCCGCGATGCTGGTCTCAGTGTTTTTAACGAGTGGGACAGAGCTCAGATAAGTGTGAAAGCTCTGACTGGGTTGTAACTTTGTCAACATCAGAGAGACGTGGCAAGACAGCTTTCTTAGGGAGTTGGGAAGGCAGTTTTCTTAGATGACATCAGCTTTCTTTCATTCTTGTCTGGATTTGAACTGGGCATTACAAAGTGTGCCCGGAGTTTCTCCTTTAGATCTGGCCTATTACATTACCTGCTTCTTTGATGTCTCTGTGCATTTCTCATTCCTCTGGCTCTTCTGGGCCTTCTCAAATCCTCTTCAGTCTTGCCTCCCTCCAGTATTCTGCAGCCACGCACAGCGGGGATAAAAACTCAAAGGCTGGCTGGGCATTTGAAATAAAAAAAATAAGCAGCAATGCCCTTGGATGCTGCTCTACGGTGGCTGGCTGCATACGATTCTCTCCTTTTTAAGAATATTTTATACTTCTGTTCTTGTGTGATGTTGGAACACAGGTGTGGGGAGGTAATATACAGGGAATATACAAAGGCCTGCAATGTTGATGTAAAAATGACAGGATTTTGATCTTTTTTTTACAGTAAAACTTTTCAACTACAAACCTCAAATACGTGAGAGATGTTCCAAAGGTTTTTTTTTAAGCAATAAAATTTCTGGCTTTGTAATCATTTTGTCATCATATTTTTAATTCTGTGATTCAAAAGAATTCTTAGGTCCTAGTTTTGTCCTGGATATTACGTTTTAACAAAAATTTTAATAATATAGTTAATACATATTCCATTTTTCTAAACTATTTAGGCATTTGCTTCTACAGACATTGTCTCATAAATTCTCATGTTTTTTCAGTCTAATGAGAAGTAGCAGGTTGCATGTTATCTGTGGGATTGAAAAACCACATGAACACAGTCACTTCTCTGTCCACCACCTCCAACTACTCTTGAATAATTATTTCTATGTCAATCAACGAGAAAGTGCCACAACTTTCAAAAGTTGGAAATCTCCATTTTATAGAATGCTGGGGGCAGATTTTAGGAAATTGATATAATTGTTGATTCTTCTTTTCACCACTTCCTTTATATTTTTGAACTGGCTGGCAAGTTTTTTTTTTTTTTTCTTTCTTGGTTTGGTTTGGTTTTGAAAGGCAAGAATGGAAAGAATAGAGAAAGACAGAATAGAAGGGATCATTGCTATTTCCCTTTGATGAGGAAATGTTTATAAATTTTCTTCCAGAAGTGACCAGGAACTTAGGGTCACAGGGACATACTTGCAAAATGGAAAAAAAAGTATCTTCTTCTCTAAAAAGGCATTCGGCCAGAAATACAGCTTGTCCTGTAAGTCTAGGCTGTAAGGAAATCACATGTCCATAGGCCAGTCCCAAGAAGCAAGGCTTCCTCAAAGTACAGTTTTCATCTCCAGCCAATGTCAAGGCCATGACCGCCTCTGCGGCCCCACCCTCTGGCTGGACTCACTTCCTCCCCATATCTGCTCTATCTAGACTTACTCAGAACCATAATTCTTTTTATACTGACATTTCTTCTTTTTTTAAATTAGAAACAAGGTCTTGGTATATTTCCCAGACTGATCTCGAAAGCCTGGGCTCAAACAATCCTCCTGCCTTGGCCTCCTAAAGTGCTGGGGTTACAGGCATAAGCCACTATGCCTGGCCTCAATTTTTTTTAAAAAAGAGGTAACAAGGTTTACTGTATCTATATAAATTAAAATTGCTAGACTTTTAATTTTTTTCTAGCTTTATTGAGGTATAATTGATATATAAAACACTGCACATAATTAACATATGCAATATGGTGAGTTTGGACACATGTATACACTTGTGTTACCGTCACTGCAACCAAGGGTGTAAACATACTCATCACCTCCAAAAGCTTCCTGTGTCTGTTTGCTTTCTTGTGTTTGTTTTTGTGGTAAGAACACTTAACACGAGATCTACCTTCTTAACACCTTAAGAAGTGCCCAGTACCTTGATGTTAACTACAGAACTACATTGTACAGCTGATCTGTGGAACTTACTCATCTTGCATCACTGCAACTTTATACCCATTGAACAACAACTCCCCAGATCCCCTCTCCAGCCACGTGGTGACCACCATCCTGTTGTTTGCTTCTTTTTTTTTTGAGTTGGAGTCTCACTCTGTCGCCCAGACTAGAGTGCAGTGGCCGCTCCCGGCCACCGCAGCCTCGACCTGCTGGGCTCCAGCAATCCTTCCGCCTCAGCCTTCCAAGTAGCTGGAACTATAGGCGTGCTGCCACACCCGGCTAATTTTTGATTTATTGTAGAGATGAGGTCTCGCCAAGTTGCCCAGGCGGGTCTCGAATCCGCAGGCTCAGGCAATCCACTCACCTCGGCCTCCCAAAGGTGCGGGATTACAGGCTGAGCCACCAAGCCTGGCAGTTTGCTTCTTTATGTTTGTCTATTTTCTTTGCTTTTCTTTTTGAGTTGGAGTCTCACTCAGTCACCCAGACTGGAGTGCAGTGGCCGCTGCTCCCGGCCACCGCAGCCTCGACCTGCTGGGCTCCGCGATCCTTCTGCCTCAGCCTTCCAAGTAGCCGGAACTACAGGTGTGCGCTACCACGCCCGGCTAATTTTTATTTTATTGTAGAGATGAGGTCTCGCCTGCCCAGGCGGGTCTCGAACCCGCGGGCTCAGGCAATCCATTCACCTCAGCCTCCTAAAAGCACGGGATTACAGGCTGAGCCACCGAGCCCAGCTTGTTTGTGTATTTTCAGTCCCTTATTTAAGAGTAATCATGCAGTATTTGTCTTTCTAAAACTGACTTATTTACCTTAGCACAAATGTCTTCCAGGTCCACTGATGTTGTCATGAATGGTAGAATTTTCTTCTTTTTTAAGACTATATAAGCCAGGCACAGTGGCTCATACTTGTGATCCCAGTACTTTGGAAGGTGGAGGTGAGAGGATCGCCTGAGTCCAGAAGTTCGAGACCAGCCTGGGCACCTTGGTGAGACCTTGTCTCTATAATAAATCAAATAATTAGTTGGGCGTGGTGGTGTGTGCCTGTGGTTCCTTGGAAGACTGGGTTGGAAGGATTGCCTGAGCCCAGCAGGTCGAGGCTGCGGTGGCTGTGAGCATGCCGCTGCACTCTAGCCTGGGCGACAGAGTGAGACTTTGACTCAAAAAAAAAAAAAGAAAAAGACTAAATAATATTTCATTGTATCATCATACCAACTTCAGATGGCTCCACTTACATTGGCTAGTGGTCTTTTCCTCTGAGTCTCAGAGTTTCAGACCAAGTCTTCCGGGACTGAACTGGAAAGTTAATTGACGTACACGATAACCACCATACTGTGATGTGCCATGTATTCCAAAGCAGAACCCATGTTCTTTTATTTATTCTCTCCTGAGAGTGAGTCGCTTGCATTACTACGGCAGCCGTTCCATGCTTTGGGAGACAGTCTTTAGAACCTAAGCCTTATCCTGAGCCTTCTAAAGGCCTTCCGGTGGTAGCCTCTCGATTCTTTTGCAAATGGAGTCTCTGGGACACTCCTGGGATCATTCACAATTTCTTAAGGAAGAGAAATAGATTAGTTCCTGGCAACCAGACTATTGGTGACCCTGCATTTTGTTAATTCATTGGAAAACAAACACCTCATTGTTCTCACAATCATGAAGCTGGTAAAAGGATTTTCGCCCAATAAATAGAAACAAATACAAACTCTGGAAGTTTTTTTTTAAAGCCCTAAATTCTATGTTCAAATTCTCTATAGAGAGCTTCTCTAGTCTCTGTAGGGCTAAATTGAAAGACAATAGTTACTGAACTTAATTGTCAGGAAGAGCTGAATTTCAGGAGACTGACATTAGCCATTCACCTTCTAAGACTTAACTGCCAGTTGGCATTTATGAGACTTTATCATTTGCAGCTCAGTCTTTGGGCTTTTGAAAAACTTGTGCACCAAATAGTTTTGGAACAGTTGGCTGTGAACTTCTTGTTTGTACAAGTGACTAAGTGCCTCCATTTTCCAACCTCTGAAATAGGGGTAATGATGAAATCACACTTGTAAAATCCTTTTGAGCTCTGCAGATGAAAGGACTAGGAAAGTATAAAGTATTGTTATTAAAATAATAGAATTTCTAATTAAAGGAATAGGCTGTTTGGAATTTCTTGTAAATTCACTAATCAGTGGTCCTTAGGCTTAGCCTAATGGCTTTCTGGGGTTGAGCTGATGCACTTACATGTAGGAACGTGTGATGTTTAAATGGTCTCACTCTCTCCATTTATATCCCAGTCCGAAGTAGGCACAGAACTTTG